AGTATTGAGAATGCTTGTCCAGTTCTGGGTAAAGGGTCAAATATGGCATTGATGGCTGATGAGTTGTCTGCGAAGAAGTGTAGGTGCTTTACTTCTCCGTCTTCCTTCGCATGGTTCGTCGCTCTTGTTGCTCCAATGGCGAGGGCTGCCATTTCTCCATCGTAGACTTCAGCTTTTCTCCCCAGGCCCATACTAAACCCGAATGCCTGTGTCCCGTCTCTGAGCCCTACTACTCCTGCCCCTACTCGCCTCTGGCCCCGTGCCGCTGCTATCTTGACATGGCTCCTGCGGGAGGGCCACGGGTTCGCTGATAAATACGGCCCGAACCAGCTACCACTGAAAATTGCCTACGACCAAAAGCTTCATTATTCTACACTCCAATTTCGCGTCACGCCCGGGTTTGGCAGGAAGATTCCTGGTGCTCCTGTATCCTAATGATGAATGTGTAGTAATCTATGCGGTGCCGCCAGACTCGCAGAAGGAGAACCCGGTGTTTGTATTCTTATCTTGCGGATGGAGACATCTGTGAGCCCCACTTCTTATGGACTAATGCCAAACTGATGCCTTCAGTGCAACTTGTTTTCACTGCCGTAGGTGGCGGCGAGCTTCCGAGAACTCTTGAGGAAGCGAAGGGCCTTTGACGAACTCTGGTCTTAGGGAAGCCGGCCATGTATGCTTCCGTTATCTTGTTGAACATGGTATTGAAAATACTATCAGCCGGCTCCAACTACGGTCAATTTGCTGTCAAGCTGGGCAGCTTTGGGCGACAGTATCATGAGGGTAAATCCTATCCACGGGTAGGATTTGTTTGTCTTGAGCTGTTCCTCTGTGGAGACTAACAATACGCATAGGCAAGGATGCTCAAAAGCCATTTTCGGTGCGCTATTTGTCTGGAGAAGTTACTCATGAACTTGACGGAGATTCCAAAGGCGTTCTCGAAGTACTTTAGCATCCACGCGGACAAGATTAGACCGATTTGAACTTTTTTCCTCCTCTACCAAGTCCTATTTTAATGATGGTTGATCTTCTGTGTCCAGAGTGTTCATTCTTGACGACAATTCCGCTTCCCGGAGAGACGTTATCAAAAGGCTCATGGCTTTGATGGTACATGAAGAAGCTCGCTTCTTGCACCGCCCTCTGATGCCTTCCAGTTGGGGCTTGTACTCAAAGTATGCTGCAGTCTTCAAGGGCTAAATGTGTGGACTTTGTTCTCTATAGCTCTCGCTCTTCTTGGTTGAGACTGAACTGAAGTGTCTTCTTTGAGGTAGAACAAGTGTACATATATTATCGAGCGTCAAAATCTGACTTGGGTGAACTACGTGAAACAAATTACGCCAGCTCTTTTCCACCATAAGCCTACAATCCTATTGAGAGAGTACTATTATATACAATGAGAATCCGAGCAGCAATGTATAGCGAGACCATCTAGTCATAGCATGTGAGTAGTCCAAATTCCGAATTATTCATGATGCGAAATGAATGAAATATCTATGTTTACCGCGCCAACACAAACCCACTTAGCCTCCTCGACTTCCTGTTATCCGTGATATCAAGCTGCCTTCCAGGCGATCTAGATCCCGACCTCCCCGGCCCCAACTTCATCTGTCCAAATTCCTCTACAGGTATACCCAAATCCGTGGGAGTAATCCCAGCGCCATTCTTCGAATTCATGATCATCGAATGCCTCATTCCAGCAGTGACGTTCTTGACATTCACAGTCGGCATCCGAACGCCTTCAGGCTCGAGGAGCATTTGAAGGGCAAACAGACCTAGAAAGGTCTCGTTGCCGGTGTTGCGCGGTATGCTGGCCAAACCAGGTGCGAGAGTCATGATAAGACCATCGAGAGTCATCGAGGAGCCGGCTTGTCGGCCTTCCATGATGCCACGTTTCCCTGAAGCGAAAAGCGTACGCTCGAAGGATGCAGTGTCGATGATGTGCAGATTGTGTGGTAGCTTGACGCCCATCCGTTGAAGACGTGGGATGACCTCGGCGGAGCCATGGATGACGAGGACGAGATTGTTGGGAGTCGTATCAGAATCAGGCGACGCAAGGCTAGAGACTACGGCCTCGACAACCTGGGAAATGCTGGACTTTCCAATGACTTGTGAATCTCCGAACGCATACGACCATGGGAAGGTCGGGTTGATGCGATTAATGACCTGGTCGGCGTATTCTTCAGTTATGTAATGTCCTTTCCTGTTACAGTGAGCCTAGATGAGCACCACAATCTCGTTGAGAGGTTCGAGGGAACGTGAAATTCAATCAAAAATTAATTCACCATACATGGCTGGGGCTGGTAGGCTTTCCTTTCCGATGCTGAGGATGACTTTAATAATATTAGACTTCAGACGGAACACGGACCGGTCTCAGCCATGAATGGTGAGCTAAGTTTTGATTAATTCCAGGATCCCTGCTGGGAGAAAGACATACCGATAATTTTCATCTGGGACGGGAGGCCATTGTCCTTGTCTGCGCAGAATTAGAAAAATCCTTGAATGCAATGTAATGGAGTAATACGTACGAGGCCAGGACCGAACACCGAACCGCAGCATACCCCCACTCTAGGCAACTCTTCTCGTTTCGCTCACTCCATGCAAACGACAACGTGAGGTAAGTCTTGTCGCGCGCTGTCCAGAGAGGCACGATGGCCGTTGGATCGCCTGCTCGAATTCGTGTCTGCGTACAAGTCAGAGAGAGGGCTGCCAAAGGTCGATGGGCATACCCTGATCGCAGCCAATTCCGAGGCGGGTAAGGTCGCATGCAATTTCTTGTACCCGGTCCAGTCATTGACATGTCTCATATGTCGTGAAGCACCAGAGAAAGGCGTGACATGCAATATATTGGGCGGTATAGGGAGTGTCTCACCGAATCTTAAGACATCGTCAACGTTGAATTGCCATTGGACAGGGTCGCCTACCGCGTCTTGACCATCTTGAGAAATGCATTCAATGACCCCGGCCTCGTCACTATATGCGCTTTCCCCGTCGTTGCATCGGTCAAGCTAATCACAGGCCACGAAAAGGACAGGAAATCGCCGAAAGAGGAGAAAAGATGGCCCCAGGACCGATCGTACCAAGGGATACCGTGAATCTGGAAGTACCCAATGTATGCTGAGTATATCGACTGCAGCGAGAGCGTCCAGCCGGCGGGCTCGACAAGGGTGAAGTCCGACATCGTGGTCGTCGACGACGGACAATTTGGCGATGCTTGGCACCCTCTACTTCGCATCCACCGAAATTCCGGGCTTCGTCTTCTACGGCCATCATCTCCACGTTGAATGTTATAGAATGAAGCAAAGGCGCTCAGTTCCCAGCTACTCGCCTGCTTGTCTCCGTCCAATTTGACTTTTCAGATCTCGGGATGCTGGGTTCCTCAGTTTCTTCAAGTATGTATTCGCGTTGCCGCAAATCCAGCTACAGATAAACTCTAGAATCATGATCTGGCTATATATTCATGGTTGTAACCATTGCGAATATACCATAAATGTGGATTTCCCATGCATATACCCATATGGCTCCTTCAACCACGGACTTTGCGGCGAATCTTGCCCGTGAAACTGCAACAACCCTCGGTACAGCTTGTCAAATTGAACCTTTGCCGTCAGCCAATGCTGAATCCGTTCTTTGTACCCTTCCTTGTCTTGGCCAAAAATGCTCGTCATTTCCTTGCTATCCGTGAAAAATGCTCTCTGAAAGTATCTGGTTGTAACTTGTAACTATGCTAGAGCTTCGAGCCAACAATAACCGAAGATATATGTCCCGGATCACTCGGTTCACGCCCCAAACTTCTTTCGTGCATTAACCATTCAGCTGGATATGTATCACACGGAACGTCAAACAGTTGTCATTACTCTTCAAACCCTGCCATTCTATTCTCCGTCGTCGTTCTTTTCTGCCACTAGGACACTTTCGTCGACCTTCATTTCTAAAGTTCTGACAGACTGGTACGTCAGTTTCACCTCCATCATAGATCCTCCCTCTGAATCAAAAAGTTCATCAAAGCCTAAGCAGGCACATGAAGATTACGTTCATGGACGCTTGGCTTCTTGGGCTCCTCGTCTGTCACCTCTCGAAACTAGGTCTTTCGGATGCTTGTTCTTTTCGTCCTCTCTATCCTACGCGCTGCTCAGGCAGTGTCTTTTCATAATGTCTCGATACCGAACAATAGTTCCGAGATTGTATACACTCCTTTCCTCTGTGATTCCGAAGGTGGCGGGGATTGCAAGGGTGGATGGTACGCTCTTCATTTCCGACTCCGCGTATGAATATATCAATCGAATTTATCTGCAGGCAAGCTCTTGACGTCAATGGTACTACCGTTATGTCAACCGACGGTCTCGACGAGGACGGACCTGCGATAATACCTCAGATGTTCCTGCAGATCTATGGCGAGTCTATGTTGTGTTCACCCTTCAATACCATTACCGGTCTGACGAATCCAATCAATGTATATAACAGCCGCTGCACTCTTCATCACGACCTCTCCTCAATCTAACGCAACGATCAATATCACGGTATCTGCCGGTAACAGATCAATAGAGCAGCAGTTTCCGCCACCACTGTCCACTATCACGGTCGTCGACCTCATCGAAGACGAGCTCACGACTTTCAGCATTACATTTATCAACGGGACTCGGCTGGATGTCGGGACGCTGATAGCACAGGTCTCGGACTCTTCTACGTGAGTCTGTGCACAATACACCCTTTCTTTCGTTAATAACAGGAATTTGACAGGGAGACTGTTCTACCAACGCAGACGTTGCCCCCTGCTATAGTTATGCCTTCGTCTACAACCATACTGGCATCACCAACCGGAGGCTCAATGAACAATAGTAAGCGACTGGCGCTCGCTCTAGGGCTGACGCTGGGGCTTGGCATTGGGCTTACATTAATCTCCATTGCGGCATTCCTTGTCTGGGAAAGATCAAGGACAATAGATGGAGACTTGGAAAAGACCCAGACTCGATCTATATTTCAGCTGCTGCAGACTCGCAAGCAGGGTGACAGTTCGTGGTTTTGATACATCTTTTGATTTAGCTTTCTGAGTGTACACTGGTAGTGTTGTACAGTACAACTTTTTATTGTATCCGCCTGGTTAATTTGGTCGTGTACGGCTATGACATCATCGTTACCGAGCTTTTCCACCTGCAACCCTGACACTTCTGCTTCGATGACGCTGGAAGGGCTCGTATACTTATCAGAAGGGGAGCCTCGGATACGGAAGGCTCTTCTCATGAACCTTCCCAGGTGGCCGCTGCTTGTTTTGACCGGCTTGCGGAAGAGTATTTTATGAACCATTATTACGAAATCCGTCAATGAAGACGGGGAAACCGATATCGTTCATGACCGTATTTCTTATCTAAAGGGCGACTTGGATCTTTCAGGCCGTCACCCGTCTGTAAGTAGAAAGTTCATGTACATGGGAACTAGTGAATTATTTTACAGCGATTTGAGTTCTTGGAAGTCCGCCTTGTAGAGTTCGTCACCGAGTTAATGACGCTCTACTCTCACGCCGAGCAAGTTGGCGAGTCGCAATACTTCGACCGTCGGGGTGTTCACTGGCATACATACATCGAATATAAATTCAAAGACGGCACGAAATGGAAAGAAGTCAAAACCAAATGGTTGATACCGACTTTTTCTATGTTGTGACTGAATTCGGCTAGTCTGTGTTTCATTTCCGGACAGAAAGAAAGAGATGTTGATACCGGATTCAAGTCGCAGGGGCAGGAAGCATATTCACTGACAAATCTGCGCCCGCACATTTTCAGAAGCTATGTTTGTTAGATCTCCCGGGGGAACTGCTGGATCTCATTTTTCGTGAATGCGGCCCTTCATAATGCCCGCGTGCTGTCTGCGACTTGTCGATGTCTAAAAAAGATAGCTGTTCCTTATGACTACATGGTATGTCTTCCGTTCTCCATTTCAACTGTTGCTTATGTGCTATGGTGAAAGTCACGCCTTTTGGGTTATCTAGGACCGACGCAGGACCAAGTAGACGCAGCCCATCCAGTGGAAGAAGAAGCAAAGAAGGTGCTGTCTAAGAAGTCTCAGTCCGAGTACATGGACAAGCCGGATTTTCTTTTTGCTGTCCCTGATCTCGTCACCAGACTTCAGAAGGTCGGCGTTTTCGACTGCTGGATGGGATATCTTCACAGAGAAGCCCTCGCAGTACCTCGTCTTGGATGTCCTGAAATGCTTCACGCTTCACGTTTTCCTCATTCATGACTTGATCGTAGACGGGCTGGCTGAGGGCAAGCCAGCTCTGACCGAAGACATAGGCCAACAACTTCCAAACATTGATTCCTTGACTCTCTTTCCTCGGCAAAGCTCCCGCAAACGAATAACCCATCCCTGCTGCTGGTCTCAGCCTCCGTAGATGTACGCTTCCCATTCCTCGAATTTCGCGAATTTACGATCATTCTCATGGAATTTTTATTTCATGTGTGAAGAGATCGGACCATGAGATATAGTGATATTAGAAGGGAGCTCGACTGATTGTGAACCCTGTGTGTTTCCGTCCGACGACGAAATGTGGTGTCAGTTGGATGACTGGTCAGCTAGAGACAGCAATTATCTCGTGGCAAGTATGTTTTCTGTGTATAATCCGCTCTTGGAGAATGTTTTCGTTTATCTACCAAGAGGGTCAGTGAAATGGTGCCTTGGGCTTGACGCTTCAGTCGGACGAGTGGAATACACTCTGAAAATGGAGGACTCGTGGAACCTGATATGGGAAGAACAAGTGGATTGCTCTATTATTGTTGAATAAATCTTTTTCACTTTAGACCCTAAATTATTAATTAACAATTTGATATTAAAGGTGGCACGTGCACGTGTCTTCGCCTTGTACAACAACTACCACCACGATTGTCGACTTTCATGCATTTGCTGGAGGATGAATCTCGAATACGCAAATCTCTCACGACTTATCGACCCTCCTGGCCGCAGCTGACGTGCTTTGACGTGCTTGCCGCGTCTATAATATTCCTATGCTCTGATCAGTCAATAGCGCGCCCGAAAGCCTATAAATTCATCAACGAAGGCGGTGACACAGATATTATCCAAGATCCTTTCTTCCAGGTAATGAGGCTCTATGGGTTTCTGTATTCATGGGAGGGTTTTGTCGAGGTATGACTTTCTGTGACTGTAAAAGTAACAGAGGCTTCATCTTTTGCACACAGGGAAACCTCGATCTTTCTGGGCGCCACCGCTCCGTGAGTGCTTTGGTACATTTTGTATGCCGGCATGTTAAATGACACTATATCCGGAAGAGATACGCCTTTTTGGACCCTCTTGTGCACGCTTTCGCAAAGGAAATTACTGCCATCCAGGCATTAACTGTTCAAGTCGTCGACAACGAAACAGGGCTCACAAAAGTTTCTCTATCCGATGAGGCTGCCTGGGAAACTTTTAGCGCGAAATGGCTGATACCAAAAGGGCTCAATTTCTCTATCATCTATCGTGTTGCATGTCCACGTTAGTACTCTACATTTCTTTCCAACCACCATTGACGCATTTTTATTCAGTTCTTGACGATAACGGATTACCGGCAGAACCCAAATTTCAGCAATTATGCTTCCTCGATCTTCCCAACGAGCTACTAGATCTCTGTTTTTGTGAAAGCGATCTTCCCGATGCTCGCACCCTCTCTGCGACATGCAAACATCTGAAAGCTGTTGCTCTCCCTTACATATATGTTGTAAGTCAATACTTCGTGACAATATTAGTGTCACTGAAATACAGTCAGTCTCGGTTGCTCAGTGTGTTACCGGCAACCCTCAATTTCCAGGACGCTCAACTCACGTCGTCCTCGATACAACCGAAAGACTTGTTATCACTCCAACACGCTCACCGACAATCCGTGGCTACACTGAACTTTCTCCTTAGTCGCCCTGATATCACAGATAGACTTCGAAGAGTCCGTCTGCTTGACCATTGGTGCCAGGATCAACATGAATATACCCCAATGTACATTCATTCGATGATCTGTGACGTTCTATATCGTTCTAAAAACCTGACGATCATCAAAAACAAAGGTTTTAGCATTAACGAACAATTTGTGGCTGCGATAGCAGCGTCCCCCAGCCTTCACACCATCTTCCTTCATGGCTGCGCATTCTTTTTTTCTATGGACCTGTTCCTCTCCAAGCCTGATTTACTCCCTCAGCTAAGAAGCGTCCGCCATCTTACCTTTCTTATCGACTATCATCTTCAGTTCCGAGCTGGTATCTTGCGGTTCACTTACTTTTGCCAAAACTTAGTCGAGCTTACAATCCTTCTGGAGAGGGGACATGAAGCAATACGTCTACCCTCTAGATTCTCTGATTTCGCCCGCCTCCGCTGTCTTCAGTATCTGTGCATTGACAGCTTGCACTCTGATTCCTTAGATGGGTTCAAGGAGTGGCTGGTAGTGCTTGGGTCCTCTACGACATCGCATCCGCATCCGCTATCTCACGTCAAGGTCGGATTGGCATATCCTGAATCCGATATAGGTATCCTTCAGCTGGTGGATGTACTGGACAAATATTCTATTCGATCGTTATATCTCGATGGGTTGTTGGAAGGGCACCCGGAGCTCATTAGCGGCATAGCAGAAAGGCTCCCAGGCCTCGAAGCATTGACACTGCTGCGTCGCGCCGGACGTCGCGAACGCTGGTTATGCTCTTGGCCGAAGCCGGTGTGGGTATATGCGTCCCACTTTACGAATTTCACGAATCTTCGCTCATTTGGCTGGAATATGCCCATGGTGTTTGACCAGGTAACGCCTAAGGCTCTGGTACTATTTGAAGGGGAAGGGGCAGAGCATGAAGATTCGGTTCTCCCTTACGCTGGACTGTCCCCTTTGGAGCAAGACGACGAGTTGTCGGAGGATGATGAGCGCCATCGCATGGCTGTTGTATTTTCGGCGTTTATTACGACGTTGGAAACTATCTCGTTCTGTACGGCGGTCGGAGGAATCAACTGGCGCATCAAGAGAGAGGACGGACGGACACACATCGAATACGCAGGACGTGGAATCCCAGAGAGACCATGTTGGAATCCCACCTGGTCAACATCCTTAGAGTCTTCAGTTATGATTTAATCCACTCTGCATCGCTTCCCGACCTACTTGTACCATGCTAATGCAGTTATTTCTTCTCTCTTAGCTACATAGTGAACTGTTGGTGTGAGGATATGTCTTTCGGTTGTTACTCTTGATTGACAAGCTCCATCTAGGCAAACCGCTGTGGCGACGTCTGTGCTCCGGCCTCACGGCGAGAACGCCCTTAAACTGTTGTCTGTAGGGCTTAATTCGCCAGGCATGCCAAGTTTGACTACCGTCAATTCCTGCGGGGTCTTGGTGTTGACAACATCTGCAGATAGCTGAGATGTCAGATAACCGCCGTCTGGGCGTGTAACAACGTGCTCTGCTTGAGGGAGGCAATAGAGGGTCCGAACGTCTGGCGCCACACTTGGTGATGTAAATGTCAGAGTATTCGGCCGAGCCACGTTCGGAAACTGTGAACCAATGTATGTGCCTCGCCTGTCAAGAGATTCGGGTGTAGTCACCATCGTGTGTACAAGAGAAGTAGTACCTTGACATAACGGTTGTTGAGGCGCTAGGACCGTACGTCATGCGTGGAACCGCCGGAGGCCCGCATTTTCTCAGACTGATAGAGGAGCACTGGCAGTTAAGGAAATTCCATCCATTTCAGACTTCTTCTAAATATCCCATAGACCTATCCAGGGATGCATTTCGCGCAACTCGGTTGCTTCTACTCCTCGAATGATATCCTGGCACTGAACCAGCCTCAGTTCCCTTCCTCGCATTCGTCGTATCCGACGCATGGGCTCTGCGTCATCCTTCTCCTCATCGGACGCTTGCCGTTCCTCAGGCGGCAGAGTTTCAGAATACTTGTGCGTAACGGTCAATATCGCATGCGTTTTGGTCAGTGCATGAGATGTCGCCGATGACAACGGCGTAACGCCCTCTGTATGGTCACCCTGTTCTGGCTTGAATTGCCCTAGGAGAAGTGCAGAGAAGAGGTCGCCGACTCCCGAAAAGTACCCAGGAATGAGCGGGACGCATCCGGCGTGGATGGTGGGTTTCTCTTGGGTCATTGACCAGGACGAGGACATGCAAAGTAGATGATCAGAATGTTCGTCAGAGGCAGGACGGATGCTGGATGGGAGTAGTTCAGCAAGCCACGTCGTGAGTGGAATCGAGCTAATAACGACGTTGGGGACACCGTAATCCTTGTGCAGAATGGTCAGAGCCTTGCGTAGGGATGCAAGGTCATGGAGGGTCGTATTGGCGAGGGTTCTTGGTAACGGTCAGACTGAGTGCAGGGTAAAGAAAAAGGCGGTACTTACTCAGCTTCGAACCAGTTTGGGGTGATCACGCTGGCGAGTGAGAGCATACTCTGATAGACCGGAACCACGTCTGGGGCGACGTATAAACGGCCCGAGTCTCCCATTACGGCTGGATATTTGTCATAAGACAGCGAGAAAATTGTATGGACGGACGCCTACGGTCAAGGAGATATATGAGGCCTGGGTTGTGTTTCTTCAGCTTGGCTGCAAGTTCGCCGATTGCTGTAAGGGCTTCTGCACCGGGTATGTAGCCTGCACACGACACGATCAGCGACATACAACCAACACACGAATGCGACATACCAGTCAATAGCCGTGTCGGGCTAAGCAGCTCGTTGGCCTCCATCGACTCAAATATCGCCTTAAGCTCTGCAGCATTCGTCTTGCTCCCCCCAGAGCGGCGATACCCTGACTAATGTGTCGTCTCAACGACCTTTGATCCTACTGAGAAGCAAAGGAATACCTGCGTGATTCGAAAAGTTGACGGTGTTTACTACCTTTTTTTTGTGTCAGCTTTTATCGAGAGCGATAGTCATGTAGGACATACATCGACATCATATCCGAGACACTGCAGCGGAAATACAGCAGCTTTTCCTCCAACGTAGCCAAATGCGACGTGAGACTGGATGCTGAGGATTCGTTCGACCATGTGGAGAAGGATTGGTAGTGTTTTTCTAGTCGAGTGTAGTAGATATTATTCTAAGTAGATATCTTTATCTGCCCAATAATGAGTCGAATGCATAACAGAGTCAATTAAAAGCGCACAATAGAGTCCCTTGAAGTGGTATCGTGCAATGCGCTAACGAGCAGGCATGGAATCCCAACCAGCTCAGCGAGATAAGGAAAGGAGGAAAAGTTCGAGTCAACGCTCTTACCTAATTTGAATCCGGCGCCTAAAAAGGATGCCGATAAAAAGCAATGCTACTACTCCATGCGAATGTTTCAAAACATTTTATCGGCAACGGACACTTGGGGGAAAGTATGTAGACACCTCGAGTAATCACATTCCTGGAGCTGATTAGCATTGACATCCAAGGACATCCAGGATGGTGTTACACAGACACACATGGAACGATAGTCAAGATCAAAACAAGTACCTAGATGCTCCAGAAATCATGAAATCATGTCAAAGAAAGAGTCATTGCTTAGATCACAAGTAAATGTTACACAGTCGCATCGGGCCTAGACATGTTGCCAAACAGTCTTTCTTCGAAGCATGGTCGTGATCGTAACGGTTCAAAGTGGATGACGGGTGGGAGCTTGTCTTGTGTCACATCAAGGTTCTAGACTCCAAGGGGAATTTTCGTGATAGCCCAAGCCTAACTTGAACGCGTTACGCATAAAGAATAATACCCATCATAGGACAACTCAGAGAGAAAGGTCAATTGCATTTCGCTCAATATCGAGTGAACCAAAACAAAGGTGACATTGTTATCAAAAAGGTGTGAAGAATGCCGTATATACGCTGAGACAATGCTGAGACCAGAATATAATACAAGTCGTCTGATTAATTTTAGCTAGGTCATCGCAATCATTCGAAGTCATGAAAACATTTTTTTTTTGATGAATGCCCTGGTACCATCGCTCATCTCAATATGAGTAGCAACTCATACATAGAGGCCCCATCTCACCTAAACCGGACAACTGCATTACCAATCTATTCTACGCACCGACGGGGGACGTTTACTCACTGTAAGACCAACAGTCAGGTTGAGACCGCTCGAGTATACAGAAATCCACATACAGGAGCGACAAGGTGATATCGCCATTGACCTTGGCCTGGATTGCGATTTCAACCTCGAGGTTCAAGTCCAAACGAAGCTTCAAAGCTTCGTTGGGTGCGACGGTGCCCCTGGATTGGCCAACAACCTGTCCACCACCAACGGAGGAGAATTCAGGAGAGGCGAATCTGGTAGCGGTTTCCTGAGCAGACATGATGTGGATACTGAAAGAAGTACAGAAGAGTTGGATCCTTTTATAGGGACGTACGAACGTGTCCGTTTGGTCTGAAGGTACAAACGTTATTTTCGCGACATCCTGCTTTCCAATAAACCGGGTGCCTCGCGCAGCAACTTAAACTAATTCTAGGCTTGAGACTGAAGTCAAAGAAGACTGTACTTCTCGGTATGCAACGGCCACGGTTTACTATTTCATAAACACGGATACAATCAAGTAACACAGCTTTGAATCTGTTTATGCTGGAACCTTGACCCAAAGGGACTTCGATTTGAGGGTCGGAACGCGGGAACGCGACGCTCGGTTAAGAAAATCGAAAATCCGGATGGCGCCTGTTGAATCAACGGGTATCACGAGAATACGAAGTCACCATGAGGGCGACTCTCGCGCAAATCCCTGTACCGGGCGTCCCTGGCGTCTAATGGAAGTCTGCAGTGCATGGTACAATTTAATGCAAACTTTGTTCGTTCAACTTCGTTGTGTTACTTACACTATCTGTGGGAAATGCTACACGTATCGGTTGAATAGCAAGTGGAGCTTCAGATGACACTTGGACCTGACGTTCTGACAGCAGTCCGAATAGCATACACGAAGGTGATTGCGACAACTTCAATTGCTGAAACGAAGGCGACAGTAATGTATTTGCTAGCAAGTAAATACCCGGTTCGTTCCGTCTAACCGGCAGGCGGTATTCCGAGGTTCCTGGCAGAACGTCCTAGGCATAAGGTGCCAATAGGGAAAAGGCAAAAGAACATACAGCAGCCTGAAATGACGTTGCTAAGGAAACGACAGTGATAACAGAGCCCAAAAGCTCGCCTTGAGAACAGTCGTTCAGAAATTTGCATTCGGAACCGGAATAAGTTCATGACACGCGGCAAGGAATAGACCAACCTCCGGTAACAGACCAAGCTCTAGACCAAGCGTGGCGTAACACGGGAGCATGAACTTCATAGTGGTAAAATTAGAAGACGGTCCAGGTTCTATTATATGAATATCAATGCAATGGAGGCTGTAGAGCTGAAGAAGCGACGAAGCTTCGAAGCCGGGGACTTAGGGGTCGGGACATAGAGCGAATTGAGGACCTTTCAAGGCGAGTCATGACCCAAGGCCTAAGATATGAGTAGAATGTATCAGTCCGACAGCGGGGGAACAGAAGTTCCAAATAACACTACTCACCCTGATGCTAGATAGTGTTGAGCCATACAATTTATTCGACATTTTTTCTCCTACCTCCTGCCCACAGTAAAGATTATTTACTCGGTACTAGAGGGAACTCAGTACGTATCATGATATTGAGTGCAGCATTTGGGGAGCGGCCCGCGTAGAGGTTGCGCCGAGGCTGAGGAATGTTTTATGGCTGTTACATAAAATGAGCGACCAGATTAAATTCGAAAATGTAATTGGAAGAAGAGGATGAGCCTCAGGACAGACTCCTAGTTGGAAGCCGATGATAATTCGCAACGATGATTTGCAGCAAGATGCAAATGGCTGTGCTCATCTTTGGATCGTCGGGCGGAGCCGATCCGATCAGCCCGACTTCTATTGCTACCATCGCAGTCGTCAAGCAGTCATGGACATCAGCGACTATGGTAGACGGCTACGACTATATGTTACGCTTGGCTTCGCAAAGATACTTTGAGGGTTACTTTTGAACAATATTACATCTCCATGCTAGGCTCTACGTGAAGTATTAATCAATCAGTGCTGTCCGTAACCTCAGCCCACAAGACAACGCTTTCTGGATAAAATATCGGACAGCCCTCCGACAATCGCTTCCTAAGAGCGAGTCTGTGGGAAACTCTTGCCATTGACACCCCTTCTCCTCTTACGACGTCAAGCACAACTTGCTTGACTTTCTTTGGGTGTCTAGGCTGGTTCAGGTCTTGCTCTACAATAGTTCAACTTCGACATCATGATCAGTACTTCATATCTTCGATAGAATGCCTCTAATGCCCTCAAACAGGCGTTCACCGCAGCCGCGTTTTCACGATAGTCCACAATGGATGGCCTATTTTCTGTCCAATTCCCGGAGAAGAAATTCGTGCGGAAGAAAGTAAAGTCTTGACAGATACTGCGGAGACCTAATGGAAAGATCTGTTGATGAAGGCTTTCTGACGAAGCTGAGTTTGTACCATTTCGTTTGGACTTATTTAGGACTCGCATCTAAACGCAAATTTCGAAACACAGTACAAGCGGGAGAAATCCGAAGGACCTAAATTACGAGGTTTCGAGATTTAAAAGGCGAGGTGGGGGCCAAAGACATACCCCCATGAAGCTATAGAACCCAAGAATACTAGGGTTTCTGTCCGTCGTTCACGCATGTAGGGGAGAAATGTTCGGGCTACGTTCAATGCCCCGAAGCATTGATGCTGCGGCGATGCCAATGATTCATAGGCAAGTCATATTTGCATCAGAATACGGACTTGAACTGATTTCTTCGGAGCGGGTAAGATGCGGGAAGGCCTAGCGCACTTACGTGGCTTCTTCCATAGAAAGTAATAACCCGTATTCTGCACTCGGCGAGATCCACTTTTCCCTTAGAAGGCCCAGAGGAATGCTGACCAGCGTTATTAACAGACGTCAATTCTGCAATCAATTGTGACAGACTACGGTCTTTCTCCAAAGATTAAAAATATATGCCGAGTTCGTTAAAATGGATCTTTTGCAAATTTTGACATAGCTCATGAGTCACAAGTCTCATCCAGTCATTTCAGGTGTCGAAAATTCGCTGCCAATAAGACGAAATGTTTGTTTATTTACGCTGCTCGACCATCATATTGGTAGTTTCGCGGAAGCTGTATTTCTCTCTGCGCAACTCGCGAAACTGCGGCATGACTCAAAACGGATGTCCTATATTTGGTGTTCTGATTAACTCCAGTGTAGAAACCGCCTATAAAGAAGGCGCATGGATACGAAAGGCCGTATTAGTGCTGTGATATTTAAAAAATCGGAAATGATTGCGCTGCCAAATAAAAGGCACGATTCAGTGGTGTGACCTGATACTCTATGTAAAGCTACGGGCAAGAATCCGCTCAGCAGCCTTCTTTGCGACAACCAGGATGGTAGCCTCGTGAAAATACTTAGTATACGGTTCACTGGTCACAGATAACAGTTATATCACACCTGAATGTTGCCAAAAGGAAGGTCCGGATGAATGGAAGCGTCGGCAATGAACTATGGTGAAGTCAAACAGTACATCAATGGGAGAAGAGAAACTATGCACCAGATTATCCGTCCCCAAACCTTAGTACCGGTATCTACCACAGAACTTCTATCGCTGTTCTCTTCCATAGCACTGGTGTACTTAAATGAGGGATATGTGCACGGTATAATGCGTTCTAGCCAAAGGTTACCCAACCCACTAATACCTGCTTAGTAGTCATACAAAACCAGTGAAGCGCGATTGCGGCGTGGGAAGTCTTAAGCAAGCCTTTTGAGCATTCTCCTCCATCTTTATTCGCTTCTTGCTTCCCCTACGATACCAACCAAGGGAGAAATTTTTCCAAAAATACACAGTGTCTATCCACTATCCTGCCAGGATACCTTAACAAATCCGATTCTGTCCTCCTTACTGAAAGGCAACAGTCCTTACCGATCGATGTCTTCGCCACGGAACGAGCGTCACTTCGATGTCTGAGCACCATGAAAGGCTGATGAGTTTAGACCTCCTCATCGTCTGCTGAACGGAGTGTGTCAATGGTTTCAGTTTCGCCCTCCCTATCCCTGTTCGGCCCTGACTGCACCCTCATCCCCGCAACCTGCTTCGGGTCGTGGGATCGTGTCTACTCCGTCGACCATCGCATGCTCCAAATTGATTCCGTCAAACGCATGAATCTGAATTCATGGCGGCATGTCCTCGGTCGGTTCTCTAACGTCGAAATTACTGAGAGCAAGATCATACACATGGTGTTAGCTGCAGATCACTTCATCTGGGCGCACAACTTTACTGTGCTTCGTCTAAGGGATTGTTCGATTAAACGGGAAGTGCTGTTAGGCATCATCAACCATGCGCTGGCGCTGGAGCAGTTGCGACTCTCGAATTTACAGGTGGAGACTTCGTCCAACCGGCAGACGGCTATGGACCGGTATACAGGGAATCCAGATGATCCAGTCGTGAGGACGAAACTGAGGGTCTTGGAGCTGGTGGGAATGGATAGCCTTTCTGGTATAAGCCCCGTTTTTGCGTTCCTCGCGCCGCAGGAGTCATTAACCTCTCCGTTTGAATTGGATGTGCTCGCTATCCGGAGTGAGTCGGAATACAATGAGCTCAACTTGGCTTTCCCCTTGGAAGTTCTCTGTAAGAATGATCGCGCGACAGAGATGACGCTTGGGGAGAGAGAAAGTAAGCACACCTGCTATTCTCGCTCTTCGAAAGCTAATCATCGTTCCAGTTCAAATGATCCTAGAAAGCAAGGGCTCGATGCTGCCTCCTAGACCTCTCAGCGTGCGGTACCTTACGCTCGAAGTCAGCACCTTCCATGGTGTGGAAGCCTTTTTGCTTCAATGGCTACGTTTCCTGCCTGTTCTCAACATTGTGAAGATAGTCGTTCGCGGTTGAGAGGTGTATAGTTCTTATTCGACAGTGCATCCCATTGCGGAAACTTTGGGTAAGCATACGGTGCCGGTTCGATTGGACGTGGTGACTGATGATGCTATTCGAAAGGGTGGATGAACATCATACCTCTTAGACATCCATACGTGAACATATTCTGTATAGCACTATATAGCATATATTGAATCAGAGGAAACTTCAGGTCTAAGTACTCAGTACTTTAGCACCAACGTTACTTCCCAAGCCCTTCAAACGGGGCCAAGATTGGCATCTTGGCACCCCTGTATACGCATCCTTGGTCACGTGCAGATATCGGGATTCTCCGGTGATCGGTACTCCTCGATCCCCTCTTCGCTTCAAAATGTGAATTTCATGCAGTTTCTAGCCTATTAAATCAGGAAATTATAGCACATAAACCCACAAGGGCACGGAGTACAAAAAAGTGACCCCTAAGCGAGTTGAACGCTTGACCTTGTGGAAATCTAGGGACCATCTAATCCACTCACGCACTGGAATCACACGCTCTACCACTGAGCTAAGGGGTCATGCATGGGGAGTGGATCCTGAATATATTATATTATGCATAGGATTGGGCGGAGATCAATTCGGTGCCTGTGGCACCACAATCCCCTTGCGTTTATCCTCTGCCATGGTTGCCCGCTTCCTCTTACCCTCAACACCGAACGACAGTGGAAGTTCCCTATTGGCCATAGATACTCCAGGTACCTTCAAGCACTGCAGGTATGGAGATCTGTTAAAATAGGCGCCCAGATAACATCCTTTCTGGTCACAGCCATCGTTACTCATGGACGCAGTAGGATTTGCGTCTGTCCTCATTGCCTTGGTTGAAGCGACAGTGACAGTCATATGATATATGAATGATGTCAAAAATGCCCCAGCGGAACGTGCTCAGCTCTTGAGGGAGTTAAGGGCGTTCAGTATCTACCTGGGGACTGAACAGCCTCGTAGAGATGGACCTTTCAGGCAGTTGCATAGTCTCTTTGAAGATTTGAAGCGGAAACTGGCGCAGGAGGGACCACAAACATTCACTATAAGGCTGACAGAAACGTTAATGTGGATTTCGGTGAAGAGGATGTCGGGGATATGTTGAAGAAGGTGGAGAGGGTAAAGTCGCTGGTGATGGTTGCTGTGCAACAGGATCATATGTGAGCCCACGCTTGTCTTCAGCAAAGACCGTTCTGAATCTATTTTATCAGATCCTTGACGCGAGCCATAAGCGAAGACGTAGCCCGTGTCGACACGGTAGTTAACCAGATCGCTCAATCATCTACCAGGATCGAGCGCGGTATTCTTTGATTAGAAGGCAGCATCTCTGGCTTAGAGGGATCCATGAAAAAATTGCAAATCAACGTCAAGCAGAAACAGGACCGTACGGTTCGTCCTAGTTTCGTCACAATGGTTCTGGCCCTTCCATAGAGGATATATTTGCCGAAATAATTAACTGGATTTTGCTATTAAACTTCAGAGCACTGCAATCAGAGATATATGCTCGGCGCGTGGATAGCACCGGGCGGTGGTTTCTCCAGTCAGAACCGTTTCTTCGTTGGGTTGATGGGATGGAGAGTTGTCTATGGTGTCCAGGCAATCGTAGGCCTTCATTCAACTTATCCTTGCCGCGTATATTCTGACGTATACCTTCAGCCGGCATAGGGAAGACTGTTCTCGCGTACGTGCCATAAATCCCAACTGGCAGAGATCCATGTTCATTGTTCTTCAGATCTATCGTGACAAACCATTTGCAAACGAAGGGATCCCCTGTTTTGAGCGTGTTCTGTGACTACCGCAGTCAGAATACAGTCTACTTTCATGGTTATGGCTGCATTATTCAAATAGCTGATCCAAGAGTCAGGTTATATTTCTGATTGCGTCAAGGCCATCTATGATGATCATCATCGACTGGACACCATGCCATCCCTTGACCAGCTACGCTCTTACTTTTTTCGGGAACTGCAACAATATGAGCGCGTGTCTATCGTTGTCGATGCTCTGGACGAATCAAAAGATGAAGATCGCGGTCTTCTTGACCACGTCAATGGTCGTGGTGATCTTCGCAATGATATCATCAACGGTGTCATTGGAAAAGCGAAGGGCATGTAAGGCTCAGTTCATTATCCTCGTTCAGTTCACTCACTATAGCGTCAGATTCCTCCTCGCTTGTCTCCACGTGGATTCCCTTGCCAAAGCCACCAATCGCAGACATCTGCGCAACGCTCTTGCAGAACTGCCTGATACTATCGCCGACGCGTACATTGAGGCATTGCGGCGCATTGACAGTCAAGGGAAGCACCGCAAAGAGCTTGCGTACCGTGTTCTCTCATGGATCGCATTTGCGAAGCGTCCTTTAATGGTTTTGGAACTCCAGCATTCTTTCGCTGGTGAACGGGGTGTACAAGACTTGGACGTAGAGAATATCACCGAGAGCGACGACTTTATGTTCAGTTTGTGCTGGGCTTGTAATCATCGAGCTTGTAACCCCCATTGAATCGGACTACCCAGACGATCCCCCATCACCCACGTTTTGTTTCGTCCGTTAGTCTTCTGCTTCGTCATGTTGGATGACTAAATTCTGATCGTACTATAGATTATATAACGCAGGAGTTCTTCGAAGCAAGACAGTCGGATCTTTTCCCTCGTATTCAATCGATATCGCGGGATCATGCTTGAGCTGTATGCTCCTACGAGATGTCCATCTTGATATTAGCTTCGCTTTCAAATCCTTTGATATCACGCGTCTCTTGGTAGATTCTCATTCCGAACACCGCAAATACCCATTCCTCGCATATGCATTTTGCTACTGGGGCTTTCATTGCCATGTCCAGGTCGAAGAGTCCCTTCAAACGGATATTCTTCAGCTTCTGCATGACCAGCAACGAATCGATGATCTTTATGGTGGGTGGGCCACCTATAATTCCTTTTGGACCAGGGATGCACCCCTTGCATCTCAGCATCTTTCGGCATGCAGCGGACGACCGAGATACTTCTGTTATCTGGAGCAAGTCCGGACTGTGTCGACGCAGAGCAACGTACGCCATTGATTTATGCTGCACCTCTATGTCCTGGAGGCCATGAGATATGTGATGTGATGTCTTTGCCACTATCTTTGTTGTATATCTAATTCGATTTCATGTCGTCGGAACCAAGGCGGTCGTTCTGCTGGACGCGCTGGGTTTTGTATGTGATATTCGAAAGAAGAATAAGGTACTGTACTTATTATGGTGTAATGACCGCACACGAAATGGACATGTGACATTGGATAGACATTACGATAGATCTGTAGAGTTCAAACGCGCGTCTACTCGTCCAGTTTGCCACCATGTCTTCTTATAGGGAGTACATACAGTAAGCCAGACCCGGCGGCTGCGGGAAATGAGCTGCTGAAGTACGCAATTCGTAAGTATACCCCGATGGAATAGGCAGTACTGACTCAAGACTGGCCCGAGGGTGAGAAGGACATACGGAGCCGCTGGTTCAAAACACTTAGGATCATTGCACCAACACCATGTCTAGCATCCCAACGCTTAAGCTTTCACAGAATCACGTCCGCATCGCCGGATTTTTGAAGAGGAAGTCCGGTATCTCAAAAGAAGAATTCACGCGTCGCTGGCTCTAGCATGCCGAGCTATTCAAAATCCTCTCAAGTACGAACAGGTGTGTTGTCTATTCTTCTTTCAACGGATTCATGCTGACTACAGGAACACAGATGCACGTGAATGAGGAAACCAATGCCTTGCTCAAGCAAATGGGGCCCCAGACGTGCGACTGGGACAGTATAGCAACCATGGAAGGCGAATCATTCGAGAAAGTCTTGAGCGCACGTTCATTTTTTCCATATAGACGACAATGGTTGTTCTAACCTCTGCCTAAAAATTTAGATCACGACGAACGAAGAGTCGGAGCGAGTTCTTGTACTGGACGAGTTGGGGTTCCTCGATCGCGAGAAGACCCAGGTGGTGCCATTGAATTTTGATTTTGGATTGTTCGTAGATAGACCTGAAAAGTAGGAAGATGTGATGGTCAGTTCAGGTCTGTAATGATAATTAATGATATCACATCCATCCTTGAAATGACAGTAGGTGGATAAACTTATACACGATCTTATACATTGAGTAGGTTTCTAGGCACGCCAGACCTCCATTTCTCGAAGTACTCTCTGCGCTCCTCCTCCTCCCGAGCATGCCTTTCCCGGGCAACCTTCGTGTTACCCCAGAAGAATAACATAACATCATCTTCATCCCAGACATCTGAAGGCTCTGATTCAATGGCCGACTCTGCACCGGTATTCCCCTCATTCCGTCCTGATGCCAATTGTCTTGCCCTAGTCCCTCAGCTGTTCCTCCTTCCCTCTCGCCATCCTCATCTTCTCTCCTCCACTCCTCACGCTTCCTGATGCTGTTGCCGTGATTGTGTTTCTCCTTTGTTGGCCCCATTGGCACCGATGCAAGTTTTGGCGGTTTAGGAATGCCGGGACGTTGCGTCACAACGTTCAGATTTTTGCCCCAGTGCTTCACAGCAACAGCCCCGTAAGTGTAGTGCAGGAAGAGATCGGCCGGCTTGGGAAATCGATGGCATCGTTGTTGTTGGGTACTTGATTCAGGTCGGACTTTCTTCCCAGGTGAGCAAGGGTGTTTCTACCAAGTATATCGTCTTGGTAGACTCCCCGATCAGCCAATTCGCCATTCAGTTCTACCGCATCGCCATTCTCATCCACCAGGTTCCTAACAGCGGCTCAGGACCGCACCAGCCGATGCACCGGAGATATTTCAAAGGGTAGAGGCAGACTTCTGTCGCGATTTGCCTAGGAATTTCCAAGTTGAATGGATCTTCTTGAGGCACCAAAAATTGGGCGGGGCATGGTGGTCGTCAGAACTGCAGTAGTCGGTCCACAGTCGGCGGGGTACATAGGTAGGTAGAAAGTAGCTAACAGTGAACTAGGCCCAAGACGCAGAAAGACTTGTTGAAGAGAAGCAACGGGCACGAGTACTCCAAAGCACGCCAAATAAGCCAAACAAAGCAACCAAACACGCCAAAGGTCGGACCGGAATAGGAAAACTGGAAAACTGGATTGATTGGCCGTCTCTGCTGATATAGCTCAGCACAAGGATAAGCACCGTCCCAGGCACTTTTCCTGATGGGAAGTTTTAAGAGTGTTGAAACAGTGAAACAGTATGAATTAGCTCAGGTAAATAAGTATAAACTAATCTACCTTGGTAGCTCATTAATCAAAGTAAAGATAGTTATGAAGCTTTTCAACTCTTCAATGGATACCTCAATTGCAATAACCAAACCTCAATCATTGGGAATTACTTGGTCACTGTCACCATCTCAAACTGTGCTAGACTGTCTCAGATGCCTCAAATGAGATCCTGATGACCTTTTCAATTCTTTAAAGTGATCTAGTCCTAGGATTCTGTGGTCCATTGACCACATTCAGCAATGAATTGGTAAATCCAGAATGTTGCACATCATTGTATCTGATATCATACACTACTGCACTCTCTATAAAATATTTGACTGCATCTATTGATGGGCAGATATAACATTTCATTTATAGATCCTGTGTTTTCTCAAACTGAGAAGTCTTATGGCTGGAATGCTAATATGGGCAGCAGAAGGTGGCAACAAGATGACGGCAATAACATTACTGCCATCTATACTTAGCTGGCAAATGAAGGGTTCAAGAAGTTCAGAGAAGCACATAGTTGTGTGATGCAAAACAGTGAAATTGTTGAGCAGTGGATGTTTGCAGAAGAATTCACAGAGAAGTATATTGGTACTAGATGTCCAATAATAGTATGTCCCTTTTCAATGGATGCCTTCATAATCATTCTGCAAGTGCTTACTGCAATTTAGAATCAAACCATACTCTGATGGTGAAAGACACTTGGCACAGTGATGCACTCAAAGTGTGAAGTGGAATGACTATTCATACACTTCAAGTTTAATTGGATCCTAGTAAACTGTTATCAATAGTTAGGTACTGTAGGTGTAAGAACATCAGTGGTAGAGCTAACAAGGGAGTGCATATAGATATGGGCCACAACTGGGTATTAGTCCTCTTTATCCTCAACTCCAAGGTTATGATACTCTCTGGCCTGACTCAGGTCCAACAGTAAGAGTTCACACTTGAGGGGTTTTTGGGGTAAAAAAAGGAGATAGCATTTCTCTGCAGAGTAGCTACTTATATACTACTCTTATGAGTTAACTAAAGTCATTGGGAGTCATTTTATTCTCCTGACTCATTCTGACTAGAAAGAGACTATTCTTAGCATCCTATCATACAAAGCCTGTTAGACCCAAGCATCATATAAGCAGAAGCATGTGATAAACAGAAGTCTTCTCACATTTCATGTTATGATTTCTTCCATCCCTTTCCTCATTAAACCCCTATTTATGCTTAGTCAGGGCACTAGAACAAGTGCTTGAGGCCATGAGATGAGGCTTAGTCATCACAAGTAGCCAAGTCCATCATTGTCTTTTGATGCAACTGCATTGCTTGATGATGCACAACTAACCTTTTATGTATGATAACAATGCTCAAGGACAAAGAGCACAACAGGTAGAGACACACACAATAAGTATCAAGTATTATTAGCTAGACCTTGTATAGTATTTAAGAAAGCTCACTCTTGCTGGTAAAAATCCAGCTTCGAGCTAAAGTTTATTTTATCTCATTCTACTCTCGAGCTAGTCACACAAAGCCTTAAAGCACAGGGAGTCAACTTTAGTACATATAAGTGAACTCTAATGGAAGGCTCAAACATGAAGCCATATTAGTTTATCATATGCTAGTTGATCACATGTGGCTTGAGCCTAACACTTAGCTCGAAGCTTTGCCTTTCTTTTCTCAAGCCCAATTATGCTGAGAAACTGAATGCCACCAGCAACCACTGCTGATCTCAATCACAACTTCTTTGAATTGATAGCTTCCATCATCAGAATGCTACTAGAGCTTCTAGCTATCATTACTCTTTGCTATGGATGACAATCAGTTACTGCTTGGATAGTCAGGCACTATCAGGTATTTCAGCAGACTTGTACTATTCTCCAAAATGTAACTCCAGACTTACCTTTCCATGACATCCTCACCTCTGTCAGAATGTCCTTCCAGCTGCAAAGATGACCTGTACCTGAAGCTGGGCCTAGCAACCCATCTTTGGAAAGTCTTCAGGAAGAAGAAGGACCTTGATACCCCTCTTGATGACCCAGCTGAAACCATGACTCTGCTTTTGCAGGGTTTTGGAACTCTTGGACAATGAATGTCATCCAGGAGCTCAAGAGTGTCCCCAGTAATGTCCCTTCAGATGCCTCCACCTCCAGCCATTCTGTCTCCCTAAACATCCCAGAGATTGGAAACTGTGCTCAGGACTCCCTTGATACCACTCAGGTGGCTTCAAGACCTCAGACAACCCCCAACTCCTCTCACCATTCCCTCTATGCTACCCCTGAGTCAAGCTCATTTATCAGCAAGCTGGAGCTTGATGACCCCCATGGAAGGACCATCCACCAGAATTTCACAAATATGGAGCTTGCTATTGCTGCAGCAGAGGACCTCCATAATCATCTCTATATCAGAAGTCAGCCAGAAGAAGAGACAGCCAGTGTGAGAG